AAACTTGCATACATACATACATACACACATACATACATACAAAGATAAAATTATGCAAGCGAATAATTCGTGTTTATTAAAAAAAGTCGACGAACAAACATTGCCTAATATTCTATAAACGATTTTATTATTACCATGCTGATCTTTTTATGGTTTATTTTTTATTTATAAATTAATTTTTTTTTAAATTTTTGTTGTCTTTTTGTTATTTTGTTGTTGCTTTGTTTGTGTCTTATTCTGAATGTTAGAGCGTGTGTGTGAAATGTATGTATGAACGTATGTATGTAAGTTTTTGTATTTTTACGTTTTTTTTTCGTTTTTTTTATTATTTTTTTTTTATTTATGCAACCATCGCCGAAATGAACAAACAAATTAGGCAAAAGGGCATACGTCCGTGCATATTAATGAACGCAAACAATACAAACTGTTGTATCTTTGTATGTTTGTATGCGTGTTTTTATGTCTGTATGTTTACATGTTGGTTTGTTTGTATGTTTGTATGTATACATATGTATACATATGTATGTTTTTCTAGTTCAAAACATGGTTTAGTTTGATTTTGTATTATGATATTTTGCCATTCACAGTTATAAATTATTTTAAACAAAAATTTATACTATCGTCATCATCGTCACCATCACTGCTATTTGTATCTTCAAAAACATCATAACCCAGCATTACCACTACCATCATCATCACCACCGTCTTCATCATCATTATCACCATCATCATTATCACCATTTTGGTGTCAAAATTATCACCCAAAGCAAACAATTCTAGCCAGTTTATCAACGTTAACACGTGTTTATTACTAAGAAGATCGCTAATAATTTTCCGTGTTGATGTTTTTGTTGATGTTGTTGCTGTTTTGATGTTGTTGCTGATGTTGTTGTTGCTGTTGTTGTTGTTGTTGTTGTGGCTGTTGTTGTTGTGGCTGTTGTTGTTGCTGTTTTGATGTTGTTGCTGTTTTATTGTTGTTGCTGTTTTGTTGTTGTTGCTGTTTTGTTGTTGTTGCTGTTTTGTTGTTGTTGCTGTTGTTGTTGTTGATGTGTTTTTCTCTTGTTTCTGTTGTTTTCTGTTTATTAATAATGACGTCGGCAATGAATGTTTATTATCTTTTCAACGCCGGCGTAGTTCGTTAGCCTTTCCATAGTAATGATAATAATAATAATAATAACAATAATAATAATAATAATATCCATTATAATAATTTTTCTATGTTTGACATTTCATCACCATCATCATCATCACCACCACCATCATCATCATCATTACCTTCATCATCATCATCATCATCATCATAACTAACCTATTC